TCAACTCATTGCCACTGCTTAGACTGTGTGCTCCAGCGTGTCCCCTGCTAACATGTAAACAGGGGCATGCTTGAGTGTAGTCTTGACAGCTGAACATATGAACACCATTTAGTCCCCTAAGCACACATAAAACACACACATACGTGCACCTCAACAACATACAAATAATTGAGTAAGATTTCCTGCAACATTAAGTTTAATGTGTTTGACATTCGGTGGAAGTAAACGCTGGGATACGAGCTGCAGGTTTGGAGGGTTTAGGTTTTCTCCAATCAGGGCGCTGCATGGGCTTCATTTTACAGGCACGACGCAAAGGTAGCGCCGTCTGAGCTAATTAGCGCTGTAGCGAATGGAGGCAGGTCATGACTCTCAGAGGACTGGTCCGCAGAGAGGTCACCAAAGGCCAAACTGCTGGTATGGAATGATATAAACAATCATCTATAGACCACAAACCAATCAATGCCTTTTAACACTACCCACTTCCTGGTTGGCTGCTCGCTGAGGCCAGAGGTCAATGTACAAAAGACAACTGAGGCGAAGAGGTTTGGAATGAAGCACATAACGCTGATTAGCTATTCATTCAGGTTTGGCAAGTCAATACTTTTGCTTTGGAAAAGATCCTGTGTTTACAGAAATACTACAATACAGACCAGTCCTAGGAGTTTAGTAAAAAGAACAAGAACATGCGGGACTAGGAATAAAAGTTCAAGTTCTGTATCAGCGTACGCATAGACTTGACATCCTCTCTGAGTTCAATACAAAAAAAGAGTGTATTTGTCCTATGGGCAGTGGAGAACGTATTTTTGCAATAATTTTTGCTTGTTAAATCATAGCTACTGTATATGCAGACTACATGAATACATTTTTTGTTCAAAACATTTATTTCTACAATGTTGCACTTCAAGTTCTAATAAAAACTCACGATTATCAAACAGTGAAAGGAGATATTCACGTCTATCCAACTTGTTCCTCTTCAAAATAGACCCTTTGTCACGTCATTATTGGTCACTTGATTGAACGTTTGAGACAACCATATTGAAGCCAAGGACATTTTATCTATATAGCACAATTCCCACAGAGCAACAAAAAGTGCTTTTGAAATGTATTAAAATACCGGTAAATGAATCAGAGAGGATTCCCCCTGCATCAGCCAATCAGCTCTCAGCCTAAACAGCTTATGGAGTTGATCACAAAGCCTCTTCTTTACAAATATGCCTTAAAGTATAATCTGCGGGACAATAACGGAATTCATGAAATCATAAGGAAAAAAATGGGTACTTTTGAAAAAAACAGCGACAGAGAACAGAAGAGTAAATCTGTGTATGGGCAGTAGGATGGAAACCAATGCTGGAGGAATTGAATTTCCAGGCCTTTTCTCATTATCATTTAGCCCTTTTTTATTCTCCACCAGTGCAAGATGATGTTCCCATGACCCCAGTGCACAATACACACACATATTATTCTATCCTGCACACATGAAATTCTTGCAAATAAAAACCTTTGTGCTCGGCAACAGCTAATTATTTGACAGATTGGCCCCCTTCTGGCTCAGGTTACAGTGTGGAGCAGTGGCCATGTTATAGTGCCATTCACACACACAGCACTCGCCCCGTCGCCCCAGTGAAGAGAAAATCCCAAAGGGCCTCATTCTTTTCAGGAGATTATATATTTTGGGCCCCCCTTCCTCCCTCCCACCATCTATCCATCCGAAATCAGGGAAGCGTGTTGTGTGCATGGGTTGTGGGGCAGATTGTGGGGGCCTGTGTGTCACTGTCAATCATTTCAGAGTTCAAATAGTGTGCTCAAGCAGAAATAGTGAAGGTCTGTTATTCCAGTTTGATGTAGAAAAAATTATGAATGAGTTTTTTTTTATTATTTTAGCATTTTGACTTGTGTTGGTGGAATGGTACCAGATTCATATAAATAATGGTTTAACCCTGAGTTGGAAAACACAGTATGTTGAAATGTACAGGAAGTATATAAGTATTCCAGAACGAATTATATCGCTATGAGACATCCTAAAGTTTTGGCTAAAACACATTTTAATGATTCACTCAGCAAAAGGAAAAAATATTCTGAATTTCTTATTTGTCAAGATTTTGGCCTAGTGCTTATTGGTTGCTTAGTGTGATATCATTCATCTAATAAGTAAAATTATGAATCTAAAACAATACTGAAACATTATTTATAATATAAACAGTATATAAATAAATATATTATAAAATTATTATCATTATTTATTTATTTTTGGTGTGATGTGTTTTGCGAAAAGTCAAGTCACACACACTTTAGAACAAAACAAAAATATCTCATCAGGTCCTGTAGTATTATCATATCCACTGAGTAACATATATCTCTATAACACAGATTTTAAATGCCGTTTACGCAAACCGCTTTCCCTTAAAACCACCAAGAGGGACTGGTGAATACGTGGATCAAAGTCCTGGGTGGGCATGCCTTTGGCTCTGATTCACTTCACTTATAACAAAAGTTTGTCATTAGTGTTTCGGACATGGACCACCAAGATAAATGCCAACACATGTTTAAATTATCTCAAGAGTAATGGCATTTTCCTTGAGCTGCTCTTTCCCAAAACAATCTCTCACAGACTTGATGCCACTCATTTCAATGCAAGCTTATAGTGTGTATACATCCGCAATATGTCACTATTTATTCTCACTGTATAAATTGACTGAAATTATATACAAAGAACACTATAATTTACAAAAGAGATCACCAGCTCATTGTCTTCACATTACATTATCGTTTTGCATGAACCTAAATCACATTTCCAGATTGCTAGTGGAGTGCCCGTAGAGCAGCTAAAAACTCTAAAATGAACCCAATGTTTATGGAACCAAAACTCTGAACTCATGACCTGGCTGGAGAATCGCAAAGAGGGAATTGATATTGTATTTTGACACAAGTGGAAAGTGAAAGTAAGATTTAGATTTTAAGGAACGTAAGCAACACATTTAGAGCATAGGTCATTACTCGTGCAGAAGAATGTGAAGTTTCCCTATGGGGGACGATAAAGTCTTCCTAACCTTAAACTTAACCAGAAAAGCATGTTAAATCACCAGGTCGTGAGGAGAACAGAATTAATGTGTTTTGTTTTTGTCATGTATATTTCCCCGTTTTAAAAAGCAGTGCATCCTTCTCTTTTGTGTGTGCTGTAGTGAGAGCTGTGGTTGGTGCATAAACTGTTCTCCACTGTTCACCTGGCATGAACCCAAGCGAGTGGAGCCTGGAGTATTCATTGCTCAAACGTGGGTGAAGGTCATAGGGACCAGCTCTTCCCTGCTTCGCTCCCCAATGAGCAAACATATGGCAACAGAGCACCTTGAACATGTTTGGGTGTCCAGAACTACTTGGCTTTTTTGGACAGGCACCACAAAGTGACAACAAAATAAAGTGCACGTACTTTTTAGGCGAGACAAAACGCAGACCATCCAAAAGCTACACAAGCTCGATATTAAATTCCTGCTAACTTGATGCAAATGTTTATAGTTGTCCTTCACTATAGCTCCGCCCAGGCAGACTAACCACTTCCATGTTTTGTCAGCTCATTAGTGGCTGACCTACAGGCATAAAAGAGTACAAAAAAAGTAGTTTTGCCATGATGGAGCCAGCAAAATTTGGATAATTGATGTTTGCAGTTTGAGGATGGTAAAAATAAATGTCTCACTTTGATGATGGTATGGTGTGCAGTTAACATCGTGCACTTGCCTTACTTCGGTCTTTGGTGGTTGTTTGTTGGTGAAGTTGATGATGTTCGTTGGCCGGGGTCTCTGGTGTCGGGACGTCCTGCCCAGGTAGCACCTCAAAGGCCGACTTCATTAGCCTTAAAGAGGAAACAAAGGAAGATACATGGTGAAGAAGTGCCATCGTTCATCTGCGGGGCCAGCTCCTGACACATTAGGAATCTGTATGCTCAATTAAGCACTGGCAGGCTCATTTTTCCTCTGCCGCTCCCTCTCTGCCCGTCGCTCCTGATCAAACACAACAGCTATCATACCAGCTCAGATCAAGACATACACTGCATGTTCGTGAATTTATATTGGACAGAACAAGCCTTTCTGTTTGTATGAATAATAAGTTAAGCCTTTTTGTTTTCTAGGTGGAAGATCCCAGTCACAGCAGGACCAGGGTCAATCATGAAACTTTTTGTGAGTATTTGGATTCCAGTTGCTAATCATTTGTTTGAAAGTGCATTTCTCAACTGTCCTGGTGGTGGGCTCTCCTTTTGCTTGGGTTCATATTTTGCCTGGTTATTTTTACTAAACTTTCTTATTAAGACTTTTTAATGGTTTGCTCAACCATTTGGTGGATCACTTTTTGAGTGACTATATTTACTTGATGCAAGCTTGGAACTGAAATCGACCTCATTGGGGCATCTCTATCACTTGGTTTTAGGCACTTTAACTATCAAGCTGCATTCTCAAAAAAAATTTAAAGGCCTACATTTACAAAAAATTTAAATCCAAATCTTAGAAATAAATTAAAATAAAACAGATTTTTTTCTTTAAGGTGTGGACAATAAAGGGTTAAAATTTGTGACTTACATGTTATAAGTTATGTCTGTGGAGACTATCATCCATAATTACGGAATCAAACTCAGCAACATTTCAGGCAAAGCAATAACATACATAGCAAGAAGCAAGAAGTATCAGACCACTTCACAAAAAGCAAGTCTACCACCAGGACAGTTGAGGAATGCCTGTTTAACTAGGGGGAAATCGTCTAATAAAGATATATCAATTTTCTGTATATTTTTACTAGTAACAAATAAATACATCTCAAGCCAAGTAAACACGTGTACATGCTTTCTTCCTACATTTTCATACAGAGAATGGTTGGATCCAGTACATTCACTTAGGCATAATAAAACGTCGGCCTAAAAGTCTTCCATGTTAACACCAGCTTCTTGAAAAATGACAATGTTTCTTATGTGACCCGTGGGTGGCGGTCCCGGGGGCTTCAGGTCAATATGACACGCATCAGCCTTTGATTAACGAGCCGAGATGGAACGCTCTTTTGAAATCGTAGGGGTCACGGCTTAAGAGGCCTCTGGTCGGACACTTCGCCACACTCCACAGGAACAAGTGCGACTGACCACGCCCATGTCCTCTCTTCCTGCTCGGTGAGTTGAGGTGCGGGGGACAGATGAAAAATGGCACGCAGCTGGCGGAGCACTTCCTCTGCTCTCGTTGGGGCAGGAGTTCACTCCTCCGACAGAGATCCTCACATAGACATCAATAAAGCGTCTCTTAAAATCACTGCACAGCACTGCATGGGTATAGGCTTCCCACACCAACCCAATTCGATCTAGTTTAAAAGTTGGGGTATCTAACTTTTTCTTAAAAAACATGTTTTTATCCCAACTGAAATAGTCTTGTAAAAGTAAAATAAGCACACCATGCAGGTTTTGTCTTAAACATGTTATCTTTTGCATGCTATTTGACGCTCACTTTTCTGACATAAAATGGTCATGTGACGGAGGTCAAAAGTTCATCCCTGAGAAAAATAGTGATAGAAAACAAACTGTTTTGAGAGTAAGAAACCAGTTAGAATGATTGAATTACAACTTTGAAAATGTATGCATTGGCATTCACGTTAGTAAAGCCTTGAAGAGATGAAGTGAAACAACAAATTACCATAAATGTGAGCAATTATCAAATCACTCTTCAGTTGGTTGCATGCAATATGAACAAAACATACAAGGGGAAAACAAACTATTTGTTTTTACAAACTACATTCAAAACAAAGTTTCCCACTGATTAAACAATCTCAAATAGATACATACAAATATAATTAAAAATGTAGATCAAAAGTATCTCCAGAGTGTCTCCAGACTTGTGTAGGCACACTTAGACGACAACAAAGGAACAAGGACAGATGATCTTAACGTGAGATATACAATTCATCAAACTGTAAGAGCCAGCAATCTATCGGTATTATAAGCCTTGGAATTCAGCAGAAATGCATCCCCTTTTGAAAATATGCAGAACTCTTTTGTGCAGCCATGGGTTTGGTGTAAGCTTTATTGGCACTTGAGAGTCCTTCTATAGTCAGATTTAGAGAGCGTAGAATGGAGGTGCTAATCATAATGCTGAGCTAGCCTTGTTGAGCTGCTAATTACCTCCATTATAAAGATGCAGAGGGTCCTATCAGTGCATATGTGTGCGCATGTACTGGTGTGTGTGCTTGTATTGTGTGGTCCGCCCTGATTAAGCGGAGGATTAGCACAGCCATCCCAAAGCGGGTGGTGATCAGGGGGGGTGTTTTGGGGGGCTGTGGTGGGCTGGTGTCCCCCTCCTGGAGACGAGCCCTGACCTTCTCATTTCATCCTCATTAGTATCTCATGTCAACAGAGCAGCTACTCTTTAATCATCTGCTATCATCCCAGGGCTCGCAAATAAACGGCACAAATAAACACCAAAGTTAGCCGGAGGGTCGTTCTGACACAGTGATGTATTAGAAGAAATGCATAAAAGTGGTATCATATTTAGAAAACAAGAAAATAATACAAAAATAAAAATTATGTCAATCCTTTCCATGTTTTGAGCCTGATTTAATAGGGTGACGATTACATCATAGCGTAATAGGATTGAGACAGGGGCAAAGTTACAGGTTTGTGCCAGAAGTTCAGAATATCAGTGTGGATGGACCTTCAAATAATTCCTTTAACGATGGACAGTTTATGAGCTGCAAGTGTTTCAAGGTTTCAAAAACAAGATTATGTATGTGCGTTTAAATCAGACGTTTCATTACAGACAGATGACCAATTTCGACTGTGTGCTGTTAGCTTGTGCAGAAGAGGACAAACAATAAAATAATAAGACATGAACGATGAATAATTTCACACGCTGATGTGAAATATCAATCATGTCTGATAAAAAATATCAGATATGTAAGTTTGATTATCTCTTTACTGTCCTGATCTTTTTTCAACAATAAAAAATCCAAGAAAAATACAGGTAAAAAAAGCATGCACCAGGATATAAATAAATATACTATTATTCTATTCTGTATGTGAGGGTGTATGTGTGCGCCACAGTGGGTCACAGCAGGACATACTGTGTGTGAGTTTTCAGAGAGAGGTGGGGGTAAACTTGGGGTCCAGGGTGCCAGTGCAAATGAGCCCCATTCATTTCCCTGTTTTGGCATATGGTGGGCCATTGTCCTGAGCCACAGAGACAAAAGTGATGCAATTTGTTGGCATGTTCCTGTCATTTTTACAAACTGCTTGTCCCACTGCGTGTTTGGCCGGCACAAGACAAGCAAGGGCAGCGAGCTTGTTGTTTGACTCCTAACACGTGCACTCGTCTGCGTGTGGTGAAATCCCCGAGCAATGATAGCTGTGATCACACCTCAAGTCATTACACCAGCATATGTTGTGTTGTGGAAAAAAAATGTTTTTAACAAGAGAAGAAAGTCTAGTGTTATTTGAGAAACAACAAGGCCATTGAGATTAATCCTTCTGAAGATTACAGTATATTATGCATTATCTGTGTCAATCCCTGTTTTCTTGATATAACAATAGAATAATCCCTGTTTTTTTTCAGATTACTAATCTTGAGCAGTAAAACATATCCCTCTTATTTTTCTCAAGGTAAAAAAGGAATATATTTCTAAGGGCATCTGGCTGTGAAACGGATTACAGCGATGCAGAGCAATGGAATGCAAGACTTCAGTCATGGCATTGTAAAGACTTCAAATGTAAATCGATATATAAAAGAAGGTCATAACGTGAGAGTGAGAGTAACATAGGGCAGCTACATACTTCTTGGGTATTTGTTCCTGCTTTCACTGAAACACACATTTCAAACTTCTGTCTGAAAAAGAGAGGAAGAAGTCTTGTCCAACTTCCCAAAATAAGCAAACTTATGACATGAACTGCACATTATTACCATGCACCAGCAAAAAGAAAGTCTAGACATGAGTGCTTTAAGGTCATACCCGGGAAAAGCTATGGTCATGCACAAAACCATGCTGTATGCAGTTGACAGACACTCTGATTGCTGGGGTTAAAGGTCTCTGAACCCATTCCGCACTGGGGATGGTGTGTGTTGCGTCCTGACTTTGCTGCATGGTGTCACTCAATATTTTGCCCATGACGGTTGGAGGTTTTGGTCTCGTTGTCTGCCCGGCGTGTGGCCCAGTCTCAGAGGCACGATCCGGCCTCATGCGGAGGTGGGTGGAGTAAATAAGCTTTCTCCTGGAAGAAATCAACACAAGTCGTCTGAATGCAAGGCATTTTGAAGATCCCCCCGAGACCTGTATGACAGATTTAAGTTATTTTTGAAATATCAGGTGAAGGGTTGCAAAGTGTTGTAAAAGTCATGATTAGTATTTACGATTTGATCATTAAAGCTGGACAACCCAACAATCAAAAATACTCCCAGTATGTAATCAAATGGAACTAGTTCTTAAAACAGTTTTCACATGTATGTCTTGCTGAAATTTTTTAGATCCGATTTTTGTGTGAAAAATAGTGTAAGCCTAGTAAAAGTTAAACACATTTCTAAACATGTTGTCATCTAATTTCTTCTCAATTTTAAACTTGGACAAGATGCTTTGTGTTGGGACAAAGAAAAGTATTTAGGGTAAAAAGGTAGGGTCCAATTTGCTATATTTCTTATTGATTACTATGCGCAATCAAAGATACCAAAGAAAAAACAAACAACTCCATGTGGATTAGTAAAGGTCAGTGGATGATTATATAGCTTCCTCTCCCTTTTGACCAAAATTGTCTCTGCTTCACTTTTCTTTGAACAGTCTTAAAAAACTAGCACATAAAACAAAGAAAGACCGGCAACCATTTCATCAGCAAAAATATCACTACAAACTTGCACAAACTTGAACTGACACAATAAAGGGGTAATCCATCTCAGCTTCCATAAACAAACATTTACGTGGCTATAATCAGTTCATAGGATGCATCAGTCATACCTCCCTGACCTCAATCCCCCCACCCCTTCTGCTCATGGGGCTATTGGTAACTGAGACCCTGGTCCTATCTTTAACCCCGTCTGTACCCCTGAACCTGCGCCCACCCCCCAGACCTGTCAGGGACCAGCTTCCCATGTCCATCAGCCAGTGATGGATGAGGTGGAAGGTCGTCACCCCACTCCCGGAGTTCAGCCGCCTATCAGCCATGCGCAAAAGGGACACATCTCCAATCATACATTTGACAAACTGAAATCTGCCTTTCAACGCTGTGATTCGGCTTTACATCTAAAGTATCAAGGGATTTTAACATGAAAAAAGACACAATTCCATTCCTCAAAAATTATACTCCTGCAACCAGACTGACACATTTCATCCAAATCCTTCTATAAGTTTTTGAGTTATATTGCTTAAAACAAATAAACTGAACGGGCAGAGATAATTGAATCAGTGTGTCACCAAAGACAATTTTTATTTTTTTTAAACAGAAACAGAATAGACAGTAGTGTGATTTGGAGTCCTTTAGGTACTCTTCAGCACAGGAATCCAAACAAAATAAACAATTATAAAAAAATATTTATACTAAAGCCTGATTAGTAATAGCAAATAATATTTCGAAACCCAGATGTAATTAGTTACACAAATAACATTAGACACAAATGATATATAATTAATCAGGTTTTGAGTTTATGTGCCATGTAAAAGCCATATTTTTATTGGCAAACAATCTGATTAGATGTGTGCTATCTTTTGGGCTATAAATGTACTATATTATTTGCAGAAGACAGAGGAGTTCCTTTCACTCTCCTTTCCAGAGGCAGATAGAGTGAGTGACTGACACACTATAAATACTCATAAAAATAAACAATGCTCAATAGAGTGTGGGCTCTCCGCTGACAGCAGCATATATCAATGTTATTTCCCGCTTTTGAAAAAATACCTAATTTTCCTTATTTAATCAAGCGCCTCCTTTGCCTTGCCCCTTCATCTGATTTATGACTCTCGCCGCCTTTATGAGTACCTGTTTCATTTTCTTGTCTCTCGCTCTGACACCTAAAGTGATAGGGATTTTATGCTTTTGATAACAATATGAGTTTCACTTTTGCCCGGAATTCACGGCCCTGTCAGCGGCTCATAAATAATGACCGGGAGCATTCACTGGATTCTGCCACAGTGTGATGGGATGTATGTTGGTGCGGACGATAGAGCCGTCAGAAGGAGAGAAAAAAAAAAAGTCTTGCACACAGGAGGGGACGTGCAGTGGACCGACCCAGGATCCCGCTAAAGGTCAATGCGTTGTGCGTGGAAGTGTTGTGGTGTCATCTCGTCACTGCTCATAATGGCAGTGCTGTCATAGAGCGTTCTGATAATGTCAGAGGAACATAAATGGCATGTGAAACACACTGTTCCATGTACAGCAATAAGTCAACGCTACTACCCTCCGCTGAGAAATCATGACAAGTCACGCTTACCATTTTGACTTGATCCCATAAGGACACCAATATCTTGTAGGTTTTTTGTGACCTCCGACGCCACAAGAGGTCCACCCATCTGACTGACCTCCGAATAGGTTTCATTTTACACATATTTGGCAACCCGCGCAAACGTATTCGTCTTTTGATATAAAACCTTGATATTTTACTATTTTTACACACTGTATTATTTCATATTCATTATAGCTAGGGCTTTTATACAACATACGAGAACAACTTTTGCGTTTCATATTGAATCATTTGGAATATTTGGCACCTTAAGTACATTTTACTTTTACCTTTCAGAGCACGTATCAATACACACTTACTTCTGCCACATTTTTGAACTGGACAGAAAAGTAAAAGTACATTCCATATAGTGTAATGAAGTGGTGCTCATAACGTCTCATCTATGTTTTTCAATCATAAAAACCGCAGTGTTTTTATGCTCCGCACAGCCTCTACACTGCTAAATTTGTGACAGTCAAAGCACCGCACCCTCGTGAACTCAAGGCCCACAAAAGGTCCTTCACACCAAAACCAAACAAAAAGTCTTTCCTGAAATTTAAACCACATAAAAGAAACTAAATCTCACATCAGTTTATGTGTGAACACGAGCACATGTTTAAACTAATGTTACAACTACAAAATGAGAAAGTCAATTCGAATTCTCTACTTTTGAATAGGGATTTGATTCATTGATACATCGCTATAAATCTGTCTCATGAATGCAGTAGCACCAAATCTGATCAGACTTCTGAATCGTATCACACATAATGAAATGGAGGAAGATTTCAACTCATGGTTACTGGAAAAGTAGATCTTGATTGGATAAAGTGTGACCATCCCTGTTGTAAAGGGTTAATTTTACTGCCAATCATTGTGACATCCAGCCAAAAGATTTTAAATTCAACATTAGAAAATATAATCTAAATGTGCTTGAGTAAAACCTAAAACGCAGAAAGTCAGTATTTTTTGTAAAAGGGTACTTCATTAAGGGCAACAGTCACCATCGACTCCCACTGTCTGCTGTCGTTGTGTCCTTGGCAAGACACTTAACCTCTGGGAACACCAGCCACAGTGGGGCGGCTGCGGCTGTAAAGTGCCAAATTGCCGTTGTGTCCTTAGGCAAGACACTTTACCCCCATTGCCTAGAATGAGTCTGATGTGTGTGTGAATGGTTGGTGGTGGTCAGAGGGGCCGATGGCACATACTGGTTGCCTCGCTTCTGTCAGTGTGCCCCAGGGCAGTTGTGGCTACAGTAGTAGTTTATCACCACTGTGTTTGGAGTGAAAGAATAATGACATGTGAAGCGTCTTTAACTTTACTCAACTTGATTTTTTTTGGGTATACACGTTTAATCAAAGAAGTTGCATGATGCATAATGATTCATGGACACCTGTGGCCCATAATCATATAATTTCTACTGTTGAAAAACGTAATTCAGTTCCGCCTCATCTAAAACGCTGCCATGTCAAAGATCTGCTCAGGCTTCATGAAGTGAGCGACCAGCAGATTTTATTTGCCTACTCAACAGTGATGCATCATCTGCGTTGCACAGATTCAGAAAATCAACAACAAAGTCAGTTAAAACAGTGGGCGTGTCGCGGTAGTGGTTGTTACGCCTGGCTCACACTGCACACCGTGGACTGCGGTCTCTGGCTGCTATACCCCCTTGAAGTCCTGCACGCGAAACCATGTGTTGTCACGGTAATTAATAATGAAATAGGGAAAGGCTTGTGACGAGAGGTAGAAAGGATCCGGAGCGCCACGGTGACTGGTGTGAGACCCCTACGTCACTTTTCATTGTACAGAAAGACTGCGGTCACGGCACGCCACTGCGGTCGCTCCGCAGTCGTGGACAGTGTGAGTCCGGGTTTGTAGCAACCAGCGGGAAGCATTGGCGAAGAATATAGAGACATTTCTTCAACATGCATGAATCACTCTGAAAACAAGTGTGTAAATGACGTGGGAAGAAAACAACCTAAACTGGTCAAAAGTTATCTATCTCCCCTTTTAAAGTTGGGTTATACCTTACTTTAAAGCCACACATACATGAATAACGTAAATAAATCTATGTAACTAGTTCCTTCTGGTTCTATCAGTTTTCTCATGCATGTATTATTGACCTCTATTATTGATTGATGTCCTCATTCAGCCAATCAGCTCTTAGCCCAAAGCGCCAAAATATTTTCTCACAAATATGCAAATTATAACATGTTTTTCTAATAAGATGAAAAAAGCATGTTGTGAGATAAGAATTTAGCTACCCCAGCTTTAAGCAAAGAAAAGTGTACGGCAACACCAAGGCTTTTACACTACTCCCATTTGTCTTCAGCCCAACTCGTAATTGTCTTTCTTATCCGTTGCATTTCCTCGCACATATGAAAAATAATGGCAGAAAGCACAAAGAGTTGCTGCTAGATTTATACGCTCACTTCACACAAAGCGCTGACAAATTGGCCATTTCTACATTGTTGCCTAAAACCTCCATGTTACCGGGGCAATGACATTAAACCTGTCTCTTTACAACTGATAAAGTCAAACAAAGATGACGCACTGTACTTGAATGCTACATCTATGGGAAGGGGAAGTAAAATGTCAAGTATTTAAAGCGAAAACTGTTGTAAAGTGTGGTTATGGAGACGCCAACGAATCACTGACCAACACTAAAAGTTCCTTTGTCCAAATGACTGTTGGTGGATATTATTGCACTGCATGAAAGCTGTTTTTTGTCCCCCTCCATGATCCTTATGTGCATTCGGGCCTCTGAAAGGTTCACATGAAAAGGGTCACAACAAGTATTCGGCACTATTTGGCACTGGGCTTGGCATGGACACAATGCATGATGGGATGGCATACTGAGGCTGGAGAGGCCCGGCAGGATCACACAGTGTGACAGAAGCCAGAGCAGAGAGGAAAATTGAGACAGATTTCCTTGCAGGTGTTGGGATAATAGACAAACAAATGAACTAATTGTTGAGGCCCGTTTGGCACGATCAAGTGTGTGTGTGTGGGTGGGGTTAAGACAAGCTGGGGAGGGGATCAGAGAGCACAAGAAAGAGGAATTTAAATGACAAAGAGCTAAATATGCAAATGATAAATATTTGACACAATAAGACTAACATGTGGTATATACTGTAATGTCCAGTAGGGGGGCAGAGAATACAGACTGGGAGGGTTTCGAGTCTGTTGCTGAATAACAGTGGGATGATTTTGTTAGTCCTAGATGTGGTGGTGATTTTTTCAATGATATTGTGTTAGTTTGAGTTTACTTAGCTTGCCTTTCTGCAGTTGCCCAAAATAAACAGCTCAATCCTCACTCACAAAGCTTATTTACTCCTGAGTCTTGTTGTGTACTGTATTACATTAATGGCCAGACCTTTAGCACAAAAAACACATTTACACACATCCTCATCAACATATTCCACTTTAAATTATTCAAAGGCACGACTTGAGCCTATCCATATTCTCCAGTTTAAGTAGCCAGTAGGATATATTTGGAACATCACACTTTTAAGAGCGGGAGCTTCAACTCCCCTGGGTCATTTTCTGCTCTGGTCTTAATTGAGAGTCTTCTGGAAAAATCATTACTATATTAATGATTTAACACAAAGTAACTACCTTCTTTTTTTCCAGGAGGAAAAGGAGATTTGCTTCGAATCAATACCCATGCACGCTCATTATAAGGGGGGTAAAGTTATAGTAATTAGGCAGACACCAATAACTTTTTAATGA